TTAACCTTACTTGGTGACTCCAGGCTCTGAAATAATACAAAGGTGGCTGAAGTATCGTTACAACTATGAAAAGATAATGTTTTATTTGTAGAATAAGCTTTGAGAGTCCAGAACTTGAGTTGGCTTGATTTTGGTCTAAATAGTATTGTGAATTTAATGAAACTGACTTCTATAAATCCTCTTTGGGATCTTAACGTATAAGAAATTCCAAAATAGTCAAGACACATACATTTTTTGTTTAAACTAAATGGCTTTAAGCTCCAATAGGAAGAAATTCTCCATTACGAAACTGGAAACCTGCCTACGTATCCTGCCAGGGGACTAGAACCTACCCTCCATTTGCGCCATCAGAGATAATTACACTTGAACTGGGACTCAATCCCTCCCCACTGACTTCATTTCCTTACACATCTTTGCTCTGTAACTTTATGGCAGGTAAGTCAGGCAATGATCTCATTGTTTCCCGAGTTAAGAGAGACAGGCTGGAGCAGTTCAGGGCATGGGACTGGGAGAGGAGCCGGGAAGGGGGGTGTCCAGGAAGGAACGCTCGTCTCTGCACTAAGGCCCACTGCTCAGTTAAGTAAACGTCATCCCCATTTTATTGTTGAAACTGACATTCTGAATTTAGCTACCTTGTTCAAGGTCACCAAGCTACTGAGAGGTGAAGTTCTTTCAATAGAATATTCTTGGAGTGAATACTACACCATTTAAATAAAAAAAGAAAAAGGCATTGGTTTGAGTTTTCTCAGATAGGTTTTTTATTTAAGAGTATAGTATTATCAATTTTTGGGGAGAGATTTTCGCTATAGGGCGTGTGCGCTCACCAGACAGACAGAGAGAGAGAGACAGAAAGCGAGAAATCACCCCCCAGGGGGGATGGCCACACCGCAATCCCTTCTCCTCCATTCTCCTCTTGGGATCTTGGGCACACACACACTCGGGGTGAGTTTTAAGTCACCGGGCCCTGGACGCGAACTGCAGTCGACTAAGAGGGAGTCCAGCGACATAGCCATTATGCTAACTGCTGGTCTCAGTATAGTATTCTTTATTATTTATTTTTAATCTTGCCAGGGGGGCATGTATGCCAGAGATGGACAGAGAGAGGGAGAGGTAGAAAGTACCTGCCAATGTGGTGTGGTCTCATCACAATCCCTTCTCCATTTCTCCAGTTTGGGATGTGGCATAAACAGATGTGCCTGGTGTGTCTTTCAAGCCACCAGGTCCGAGACTTGATCCATATTGTTGGTCATGTGGGATCTGGCTCCCGCAACCACCCATTCATGGCGCTGGTCCAATACTATAGTATTTTCTGTTCTCACATTCGTTAGTTCTAACCTGGGGGCAGCCCATCCTCTTAGGGGCATTTAGAAACGTGTGCGAACGTCTTTGGTACTCATGAAGGGTGAAGGTGGTGCTCTCAGCGTTCACGCTCAGAAGTCAGGAATGTTAGGATTGCAGCAATGCTTACAAGGGTTCCACACAAAATTATCACCTCTCCCAGAATGCAAAGTTATCAGGCCAGCAGGTGGCTTGGAGGTTAAGGCAGCTACACCCCCCATGGCCAAGTCAGTGGTTCGAGGGACTGCTTCAACTTCTAAAGTTGTGAGGATTACGTGCCTGGGACATGGTCTACGCAGGGAGTAAGCCTTCTGTTAAGTGGTGGCTCTGCTCTCACGATGTGCTTCACAGTACCAACTTTCTTTAATGTTTATTTCCTATAAAGAAGTGGTACCCCACAAGACATTTGTTCAGTTAATGACTTAAATGACACGTTGTTACCCAACTGCTACTTGGAACTAAAACCAAGCCAAACAAACAAAACAAGTTTGAGAACTTATAGTGGGACCAGCAGGGGGCATAGTAGTTAAGGCACTGGACTCCCACATGGTTGACTGTGGTTTGAGTCCTGGATCCGGTAGCTTGAAACTCATACTGGGCATGAGTGCATCCATGTCCAAAATCCCAAGAGGAGAATGAAAGATAAGAGATAGTGGCATGACCATCCCCCCTGGGGGGTGATTTCTCACCTTTTGTCTCTTTGGTGAGCACATGTGCCCTATAGCAAAAATGCCTTTAAAAAAAAAAAAAGAATAGTACAATTTAAACTTGAGAACTGAAAACCTTTGTTAGAACACTATATCTGGGTCAGTGAGTTGGTATGATGAAGGCAGCTAGATGCCACATGGCTGACTACATGGTTGAAGTCCTGGACCCAGCTGCCTGAAAAACATGCCAGATGCATGTGTTTGTGTATTACTCAAATCCTGAGAGAATGGAGAAGGGACTGCAGCATGGCCATCCCCCTTGTAGGGTGCTTTCTCAATTTCCCTCTGCTTCTATCTCTGGCAAGTACATGCACCCCATGGCAAATTAAAACAAGCATGCTGTTGATATCTTTAGAATTCCTTAAAAAAACAAAAACAAAAACAAATTATATCTTGCATGTTAATAAACCAATGTTTTTCATTATTATTTTACACATTCTACAAAGGTGATAATGAAAAATAATTTTTGCCCCAACACTGTGGCCTAGTGGCTAAGGGAGCTGGATTGTACATGGCCTGCTGCACGGTTCCAATTCTGGCCTCAGTGGCTTGACAGACACACCAGTGTTGGTTGCATGCATTCCCATATCCTGACAGGCTGGAGAAACAGAGTAGAGATTGCATCTAGCCACATCGTACTGGGGGTGTTTTCTCTTTCTCCCTCTCTGGAGAGTTCATGCACTCTGGCAAATTAAGGAAAAACTTATTTTCATGGCAAACTATGAAGGAAATAGAACTCTTTAATATGTTGGGCCCAGTAGTGGCGACACAGGCACCACATGGCCAACTGCAGGCTTGAATCTTGAGCTGACTTGAAACTGGCCGGGAACATGAACCTGAGATGTTGACTGGCTGGAGAGCAAGAAGAGAACGGTGAATGAGGAGACCACGTAGAGGATTGCTTGTCTCTCTCATGAAAAAAAGAAACTTAAAAAAAAACAACAAAGGATTTTTACCTTTTAAATCCTTTTTTTAAAAAAAGATTTATTTATTTATTCATTCATTCATTTTAATTTGACCAGAGAGAGAGACACAGAGAGAGAGAGAGGAAAGTGAGAAAGCAAGCCACCAGGTCCAGGATCGAGCCATGGTCGGCCATGTAGGAGTGTCCACCGCTTTAACCACCACGCCACCTGCTGGTCCCCCCTTTAAATCCTTTTTAAAACCACTTGGTATTTGTTTCTTCTATGAGGAATCCCCAATAGTCTTCTTGCCACAAACACACCCAGCAGCAGGACCATGGGCATGGGTGTGTCCAGTATGTACAGGGAGACACAGGAATGTGAACCTGGGACCTTCCCGTGTTTTGGCACCACGGAGTACTGTGTTACTGCTGTGCAAGCAGCTGGCCATATAAGCCCATCTTTAATCCTCTACATACGACCCCTTCTTCCAAATTCCTCTATTTCTGTGTGAATTTACTGTATAGTTTCAGAGTTCAGAGAATGTTTATTTGAGATGGAATGATGTGACGGTAACCACTACATGAGAATATAGAGAATAGAGTTTGGGGCTGGGCCCCTGCTTAGCACTTAAGGGAGCCAGATCACACATGGTCAATTGGTCTGAATTCCAACCCCAGAAGCTTGAAAAAAATACCGGCCTATGTGTATGCACCCAAAAACCTAACAGGAAGAATGAAAAGGGATTGGGGGGGGGAAGGGACCAGCAGTTAGCGTAATAGCTATGTCGCTGGACTTACATGTAGTCAACTGCGGTACGAGTCCCAGACCCAGTGGCTTAACCTCACGCTGGGTGTGTGTGTGCGTATGTACCCAAGATCCTGAGAGGAGACTGGAGAAGGGATTGCGCGTGGCTATCCCCTCGGGAGGTGATTTCTCACTTTCTGTCTCTCTGTTTCTCTCTGTCTTTCTGGTGAGTGCATGTACCCTATAGCAAAAAAAAACCTCTCCAAAAAAAAAAAAAAAAGAAAAGGGATTGTGGTGTGACCACACTCCATGGCAGGCACTCTCTCTCTCTCTGGGTGTGCCCTCTGCCAATTAAAAAAAAAGAACAGAGAGTCCAGATACAGCTTTCTGGCAGTCTAGCTCACAATACAAACAGCCCTCTATTTAAAAATATTGTTAACAGTATATTAAAGAGAGAAAATTGGAGTAATATATTTGAGATCATCTATTATATCCCAAAGTAAAAATAGGATCTCTTATGGACCAATGACTGGGATTCAGAAAATATTTAACTATGGAAAAAATTATTTAAAAGTAGCCATTAAGGATTATTTTTTTCAGCTACTTTGACATGAAGCATGTATTTAAAGAATACACAGAAGTATATCCTTAAAATAAAGTATAAGTATATCCTTTAAATAAATAGGAGAAAAGGCTGTACAATGGAGACATCATATTTACTTTCTAAAAATTTCTTTGAATTCTGACACAATGGCCCTGCTTTAAAGTAACACAAAGTATGCCAAATTTCAAAGTGAAAGGGAAATGTTTCTGACAAGGCAAATGTTCAGTTCTGCGTTTCCCGAAGCTTCCTGATGCAGTCAGCATTCCACGTAAACTCGAAGAGTAATGTCTTCTCTCCTGTATCACCATTGGCATAGCTGTGGTCGATGGCGTCACCCCCCATTCCCAAGGAGGTGCTGCTGTCAAGCACTGTTGAACCAATGCATGGTGAGATGGGCCTTTCCTCAAGGCTTCCAAACCGCAGTCCAGCCACCTTGTTCTTGGACTCACTTGTGGTCCTGGAGCATGTACCACGTTACGGAGAGCCGAATTCCAAGGATTCAAAATGGAAAGAGTCCACCACAATCTTCAGTGTTGTGAGGGAGGCCAGAGGGCCCTCAAACAAAAGACTAAATAAAAACAACGTCTACATAGTTCATGGCAGGGCCTCAAGGTGAGAATTAAATTTTCAACCATGAAAGGGATTCGCCATCACCTAGGAATGGCCTGCCTGCCTGGAGTGGGAGCTGACATGGAAACCCAATTCTACAGAGGGTCTACACATGGTAATTGGCAGAAAACATGATAGAAAAAACCACATCAATCTTTAGAGAAAAATGGCTCCTAAAGGAGAGCTTGAGGCTCAAGTCCTTTTTCCATGGTCTTGCTTATTCAGCCATCCAGAGCTTGAAGGTCCTGTCATACGAACAAGTGGCTATGAGCTGTCCGTCAGAAGAAATATCCAGGCCCATCACTTTGCCTTCGTGGCCAGCCAGAGTCTTCAGAGGGGACCAACCTGGGTGGGTCCAGATCTTAGCTGTGTTATCATAGGCACCGGTGAGCAAGAAGTTCCCATGTATAGCTACAGGAGAAAACAAGGGAAGCTATTGGAGGAATTCCAATATTTGAAAGAGCAAAAGATAACAAATATACAAAAATCTGCAAAAACATACTATTTTGAAAAAGAAGGTATTTTGACATTCAGAAAACACCCAATACTCTGCTCTTCCATTTCTACTAAGCCTCCAGGGAAGAAGACAGCTACAGAATTAGGGGAACAGATAACATTATCTAGGTTCTTTCCCTGATAATCCATTGCAAACAACATTAAGGACTCAGAATGTCCAAAGAGGGGAAAAATGAAGCAAAGCATTCGTGGAAGTCTTCTTTATTCCTAGCAACAAGATGTTTTCCCATAGCTCTGTCTAAAGGTATGGCAGAGGGAAGGAAATTGTAATTTGTTCCTTTAATAGAGGTCAAATTCATTTCTTTTTTTTTTTTTTTTTTTTTAAGTTGCCAGAATACATTTTCTTGTAGGAATACATGTGCTTGTAGGAAAGAGAAAGAGAGAAAGCACTCCCCCCATGAGGAACGATCATGCCGCAATACCTTCTCCATCTCTCCATCCTGTCAGGATTTGGGGTATGCACACACATATGCCTGATCTTTTTTCTTAGATTTTTTTTTTTTTTTGCTATAGGGCATGTGTGCTCACCAGAAAGAGAGAGAGAGACAGACAGAAAGTGAGAAATCATCTCCCAGGGTGATGGCCATACCGCAATCCCTTCTCCTCCATTCTCCTCTCAAGATCTTGGGCAGGGATCAGCAGTTAGTGTAATGGCTATGTTGCTGGACTCCCACGTAGTCGACTGCGGTTCGCGTCCTGGACCCGGTGGCTTAAAACTCACGCCGGGCACGTGTGCATGCGTGCCCAAGATCCCGAGAGGAGAATGGAGGAGAAGGGATTGCGGCGTGGCCATCC